AATATTTTGTACAATATAAACTTTCTTTTATAATTATATATTTATTTACATACGATAAAAGGTTTCCATCGCTTCGCAATGTTGTGGATGAAAATTGATGTAAAAATAAACATCGCATATCGATGTACATCTTGGCGGTATAAATTATTAATTATATTTTGGTTTATTATTTTTGTTGTTGAATTTTTTATATGTAGAATAAAAGTGTGAAATATTATAAAAAGATGAGACTCGCAAATGGACAAGCAGGTATATTCGTCAGTGTTCACTTGTAAGAAAGGACCTTTGTTAGGTAGAGTCCCCCCCTCCTTTCGACCTTTTTAACGGTTTTCACAGAGGGACTCTCACACGTTGTAACGGTCTGACCAGTTTCGTGGTAGCATTTGTAAAGAGAGCGTGGTACGAAACATCAGTAAAAATGGAGACAACATTTATTACCGATGAAACTGTCGAATATGTGCAACTTCTTGCAAAGTGCGATATTTCGAAGGAAGACTTGACGGATGCGGTTGAATATTTTCGTGGTAAATATATTAATGAAGAATTAATTATCTGCTTTCATAACGTCACAGTATATTTCAAATTATAATGTAAAATAATTGTTTGTAGATATTGCTGTACGCTTTAATTTAATATTTGTTGACGCCCCACGCAAATTTTCGAACAATGCTAAATTAGTTGGCGGCAAACTTTTTGAAAAATTTATTAAACTATTAGGAGAGCATGAAATTTTGGACGACATTGAATATTATACAGAAGAAGAACAAAACGTGGTTGTATGCGAAAATATGCCGAGTACAAGTAAGAATACACCCGATGAATTGGAAGATTATGAACCTCCAGAAAAAATTTCTACGCATAAAGTAGTGCCATACGATACAAAATTAAAGGTCGTACTGACAGCACAAGAACATCCACAGTGGTCTTTCAAAACATTAAAGCATCATTTTAGAAAATATTTAAACCATCCTTCTGATGTTACGAATTATAAAAAAGCTGTTTTGTCAGGCAATACTTTTAGAGACAAATTAAATACAATAAAAACTAATGTGTACGATCGCTTCACAGAAGCAAGAAATAAGAATCAATTAGTTACGCGACGTTTGCTTCAACAGTGGGCTATTGCTGCAGCCGCACAATATAACAAGCCAAAAGAAGAACAAGACAGCGAAGAACATACAAATGTTTTTCATTTCGTAGCATCCAGCACGTGGTTGACCAACTTTTTACACGATTATAGGATATCGAATCGTCGCGTTGTTCGATATGTTTCCAAAAAAGAAGCAATTACACCAGAAGTTGTCATAAAATCAGCGGAACAATTTCAAACATTAATTCAAGCAATTTCGCCAGATTACGATCCCGATTTTGTAATTAATACAGACCAAACAGGATGTGAGTATAGAGTTAATGTTTCGCGAACTTACACGCACACTGGAGAAAAATTAGTTCAATTGTACATAGGCGATTTAAATAAAGTTTCGCATTCATACACCGCCCAGTATTCACTGACGAAATCCGGGAAGTTATTAAATAAAGTATTTGTGTGTTTGCAAGAATTTTCTGATAATTTTGGAGTACGCGTACAAAAAGATGTAGATAAATTATTAGAATTATGTAAAAATGTCGTTATTACATGTTCTAAATCGGGCAAATTAACAACATCATTATACGCACAGTATTTGGAAAATGTTGTTAAGCCGTATGTCGGGGATAATTTGTTTTTATTTATTGTTGATTCCTGGGGAGGACAAAAAAACATCCAAATGTATAACGAAATATTTCGCGACAAAAATAATAAACCAACATGTAATTTACAAATTATACCGCCAAAATGTACTCCGATATGTCAGCCGTGCGACGTTTATTTTTATCGACAAGTGAAAGTTATAATTAAGAAAATACAAAACTGTCCAGATGTAATTTCACAATCAGGTGACGAAAGCAAACAATTAAATACTCGTGCTGATGCGATTCGTATACAATCTTTAACTCATTATCTGTTATCAGCGCCGAAATTTAAATGTATGCTTCAATATGCATGGTATGCATCCAAATTAGCTGACGATAGAGAAATATTTTTAAATGTGAATCAATTATGCTTCTCTTCAAACATTTATAATAAAACATGTGTATGTGGACAACATAATTCATTTATTAAATGTTCGTGGTGCGAAAAAATTTTATGTTTCCAATGTTTTTACATCAATTTTCATCCACAACATTGCGAAGCGATGGAAACCTTTTATCGTATGTAAATAAATATATAATTATAAAAGAAAGTTTATATTGTACAAAATATTCTTGACAAAATAACACATGTACATTGCATGAGAAATATAATCAGTTCATGACTTTAAAACTGTTTTTTATTTCGTATTGCGTTCAAACATCCCGAAATGTCCTTATTTTTACATAGAAAAACAAAATAAATTTAAAAAAATAAATAATGATTAATGTAGTGTCTTCTATATATCCAAAATTGAAAAAAAAAAAAAAAGCGAAGCAGTCGTCGGCGGGACTCGAACGCACGCCGCCGGCGCAAAAATGTATGGACGGGAGCCTTAGTCGGCTCAGCTACGCCGCTTACTCGAAAAAGATTCTAATGTTCTTCTTTACATGGGACATAGTTGCGTGACCCTAACTTTGTTTTGTAATTTCTCCTAAACGAAGGCCCATTGGCACAAACGCCTTTAGGGTTTTTATTAGCTACATGTAAGCTATCGAACGCACTATGACTCGTTGGAAAAGCGATTTCCTAATTAGCGTCATCTCCTTGTCAGAGATATATAAAAACCTTAGTAACGATTTTAAAAATGAAACTGGCAAACAGCTGTCACCAAAATATATTTATACTATGTTACAAGGAAACAGATTTGATCTGTGGAATAAGTTCCTCAGTTTTCATAAAATTGAAAAACTTTCGGTCTCTATTGTAGACAGTTCAATAGAAAGTACACTACATGATGATTCTCGTAGTAATGAAAAAATGGAATTACAATTGATTCTACCATTCAAAATATGGTTAGCAATGGGTTCTGAAGAAACAAAATATTCAGATAAAAAATTATCAGAAAGAAGCTACAATATTTTATTTCGAAGAATTTGGACTGACGTTTTGTTCGAGCAATTATGGCAACAAATACGTATACCATGTGCTTTATCGTTCAAACGATGTAAAATGTCTGATTCTGAAATATTTTTAAAAATCGTTGCCACTTGTTCTGAGTGTAACTGTAATTTTTCCGGAATGATTGCAAATAAGCCGATACCAGCGGAAGATATCATTATGGAATGCGTCATTGAAAATTTCGATGCTTCAATACAACACAAAAAAAAACGACATTTAAAAGGAAATCGAAGAATTGAAATTTCAAATAAAATGCTGGAAGGAAATATCCTGCCATGCATTTGGCGCCGAAACGAAGCAAGTAAAATAATGGAATTTGGCGATCCAGAGCCCGCACACTTACCCAAAAGCACAATCCTTTCAAAAGCAAAACAAGAACGCAAAAAAATTAATCTGAAGCTTACTGATCCGGATTCATTTCAAAATTTACGACGCATGAAGTATAATCAGCATGCAGGACAAATACACGCGATTGGGTTAGATCCATTTTATGTTCATTATTGGACACCGGAACAAATTGCCATTTTCATGCAAAATTCAGAATGTGTTTGTATAGACGGGACGGGATCTCTGGTAAAAAAGTTAAAAAAACCGTCAGGAGAATTGTCACCTCATATTTACCTGTATCAAATCGTTACACAAACTAATACATCTCACATGCCAGTATTTCAGATGTTGAGCGAATCTCAAAATACTAATACCATTCATTTTTGGTTGGCAGAGATCATAAGAATTGGCACACAACACAAAGCAAATTTCCCATTACCAAAACAAGTCGTTTGCGATTTTGACAAAGCTTTAATGGGAGCTATTGCCAGAGCATTTTGTCAATGTAAAAATTTACGAAACTATTTGGACCAAAGTTTCATGTGTTTGAATGGAGAGTCAAAAATTCTACCACCTACATTTTTGCGCTTAGATGTATCGCATTATATTCATATGGTGGAAAGGATTGAAACTTATTCATCCTCAAGCACGTTTATTTTATATTACAATTATGGCTTTTCTTACCAAAATATCAAATTTTGAAGAATTTAAAGAAATAATACAATGTGCCATCGTTCTTACAAATAGTGAGATGTTTGGGAATACGAAAGATAATATTCCGTCTTATGCACAGCAGTGTTTTAAGAAATTACATGCAGTTGTTACACAAAATACTGTTCAATGGGATATTATTGATGGTGAGAAAGAGGAGACAAATCGTATAGTTGCTTCTGATATAGAATCTGATACGGAAATAAAAGAAACGAATCAAGACAAATCAGATATCGCTGAGTGGTCAGCAACATTCTCCGCTGAATGTATAATATTGGCAAAAGATAATGAAACAAAAAGTCCTGGATGTGATATAAATCCGTACTATTCCGTACAAATAGGGAAAAGAATAATATCTTTGTTATTATACTTTCCATTGTATTCGAATATAATGAGACCAATTTTCAATTATGGAAATTTGACTGCAACATCTTCCGCAGTGGAGGCAGAATTTAACGATTGCAAACATCGATTTTTAAGAAATTTTTCACGTCCGATGCGAATCGATAAGTTTGTAACGTTACATCTGCAATCATTTTCTGGTCGTGCAAAACTTGCGATGGCAGAACAAACAACGAGAAATAAAAATTCATTTAATGTTATAGAAGATATTGAACATAAAACTAGACGAGAAGATTCACATATACAACAAACACCAAACCTACAACAAAATCTCACATGCACCGATGTTCAGCTCGCACATATTACATATAATGACAATCCACAGATAGATAGAGATATTCACACAACTTATAACGACACAGTACAAATTAACACTTCTAGCACGGACGAACAAAAAAATTATGAATGTGATACTGTATCGTACGAAAAATTAGATAGTGAATATTACGATTTAAACGACGAACACAATTGACGAAATAAAAATGATACAAAAGCAACTAAGAGAACATACCTCCAACCACGACCTGATTTTGTAGGAGTATGCAAAAGAAAAAAAATTGATCTGGCATTGTTGCAAAATGGAAATTTATGTGAATCCATAAAAGATGGAAAGGAGAGAATTGTCATAATAAATACATGTGGATTCGACAGTATTGCACAATTACTTTCTGCTGCATGTGTACATACTACATTTTATGATACCATTTTAAATGCCACATAGGATATCTTTAAATTTATTAAAAATTTCGTGGACAAAGGTTCGTGCAAAATAATTTATAGAGAACGCGCAACAATATTGCGCAAAATCGAATGTTTTGTCAATAAAAACGAATTTAATGTTACAACAATAGACGCAGACTCAAGTATTTATTACATATGTGAATTTCTTTTTAATGAACAACCAAGTGGTATATTAGAAAAAGAATGTAATAATTGTAAAACAACTGTAACCCGGAACCTAATAATTTTTAATCTAGATTTTGAAACAATTTACACGCACGGATATGGCAATATCGCTCAAGCTATAGAAACTTATATCAATATAAACTATAATCAATGCCGAAAATGTGAGGAAACTACAGTAATAAAACTCAACTATCAATCACACATATTAATCGAATGTATCGGAGACACTAATATAAATGTTGCATTGAAAACATTCCCAAAAACATTCATAATTAATGCATTTACATTCACCTTAATTGGAGTCATACATTACAGTCGACCACCTGGACACTTCACTTCCTATGTGTTGTACGGAGACAAGTGGATACTCTTCGACGATTTAATGAGAAAATGTCGAACAGTCAGTGAGGAAAATAAAATCAATCCAGTTTGCTTATATATAAAAACAAAATAAGAAAAAGAATTAAAATATCTTATTATTAAAACTTATTATTAAAACTTATTATTAAAACTAATATAACATAGTGTTATTATTAATAATAATATAATATAATTGTTACTACCAAAATAATATTAATATAATATAGTTATTAAGTTTTCATCACATTATATTGTTATATAATTTTTTATTTTAACACTTCATATTTTATACTACTCTAAAATCATTTGCTTTACGTTAAAATTACTATTTTATATAATTAGTACATAAGCATTAGCACTTGCTAGTTATTAAATTTTCATTATATTATATTATTATATAGTATAGTGAAAATTTAATAACTAGCAAAAACTAATGCTTATGTACTAATAAAATAAAACAGTAATTTTAACATAAAGCAGATGATTTTACAGCAATATAAAATAAAAAATATTAAAACGAAAACGACACAAATTTTAGAATACAAGAAAAAAAACAAAAAATAACAAAAACATATAAAAAAAATATAAAAAAAAACAAAAAAATAAAAAAACAAAAAATACAAAAAAAACCGTTCCGATAATCTCCACCTTGACGCGGTGGAACGGCATACGTGCAGGAAACAAATGCACAACAAAGAGAGATATCTTATTTACTTCCGTGTAATTTAATATTATCCTGATCAATCAAGTTGCGCGTGCGAAAGGTTGCGAAAATCAAGAATAAAATACCTTTAATATTTTTGTGCTGGCGAAACTAAAGCTTGTGCTGACTTGTGCTAGGCTAGCACAACTCAGATATGCAATTCTGAGTCGATCCAAAGTCTAGAAGTCGTGATTAATGACATAGACTGCGAGCGCGAAGGGCCGCGGTCAGGAGTAAAGTGCCCTTTAAATTCTAGTGTTGGCGAAACTGAAGCTTGTGCTGACTTGTGCTAGCCTAGAGCAACTCAGATATATAATTATATATTGTTTGGTTGACTTACGAATATAAATCTTACTTTTCTTCTTTTCTGCCTAAAATCGTTTTTTTCGTTTTATTCCTTTCATGATTATTTTTCGAAGATAATACTTTAGCACAATGTTAGTACAACTTAGCACAACCTAGCATAATAAAAAAAATTTCGAAAATCAAAAAGTGGGGGGCTACCAAAAAAACGGTTTTTTCCATTTTTCTCGCTCATTTTTCGTATTAAAAATTTATAATTCGAGCACAATGTAGCACAAATCTAGCACAAATCAGCACAACTGTCAAAATTAATAAATTCGAAAAGTGGGGGGCTAATTTCATACAGGCTTCATTGTATACACTTGGGTTGCGTTCTCATTTACACTGCGAGTACAGGATACCTATACTCCATGTCGTATATACTCATAGAGCTTATACTAATGGAGTGACAATGGCCGCGTTCAGTAGAACAAGTGATCAGTAAGCGTTCAGTGAGCTCTTGCATCGGATTGGAGTATAGTTGGAGATCTAAAAGAATATGCC